GCAGTGCAGCTTCCTGCCACTAGGCCACCAGAGTTCCTCTGATTTTGTTAAGAACTTCTGTTCATGAGGGATGAACTTAAAAAATCTTTTATTTGCCTGGTTTTGAGTATCAGGGTTGTGCTTCTGTCACAGAATGAATTCTGAAGTATTCCATCTTTTCCTAAACCTAAAATAGTTTGATGTCAGCTCTTCTCTGCATGGCTGGTGGAATCTACCCAGGAAGGTGTCTAGGATCCTGGTTATCTCTGTTACACGTTCCTTCTCACTCTCACTTTTCATTCCAGATACACTAACCTTATCACTCTTTCTGAACCTACTGTAAAGAGTACACATTTTACTCAAGACATTTATATTTCCTATTACTTCTCTGTAAAAATTATTTTCTTCAAATATATGCATGGCTCTGTACTCAAATGGTCTTTACTCAAATGCTATCTTCTCAGTAATGTTCCCTGGTCATCTTTTCAAAGTATCTCTCACCTCAACCCTATTCATTTCTCTTTCCTGCTTTATTTTTCCCATGAGCTCTGGTGGCCTAGTGGCAAGAAGCTGCACTGCAATTCTGAAGGCACGCAGTTTGAGGCCACCAGAGGCCACTAGCTGCTCCATGGGAGAAGGATGGATAATCTCCCGTGCGATTAACTGCCTTTGAAAACCCACTGGAGGGTCAGCTATGGCTTGGTTCTGACTTGATGGTGCACAACAAGAACAACAACATAAACTACTTTATACTTATTTATATTAATTATTGCTGTATTTCCCTACAGAAAATAAGTTCCAGGAAAGCATAAACTTTTTCCCCCCTTCACTACCATTTTCAGGACCTGAAACAGTGCCTGATATACACATAAAGCTCAAGAAAAATTTGCTGAATAAAAAAAGATTTTTGGGAAAAAAAAGGATAAACGTTTACACCAAGACTCATTAGCTAGTCTTTAAGCCAAATAAAGCAACTGCTAAAATCACCAATATTTTAAGTTGGGTAACTATACAGATTTGACCTAAAGTTTTTTCCCTTACCTGGACATCCTGGGTTAGTACGCAATGCTTTCTTATAGTAAGCAAGTGCGCCTCTGTAATCCTTCTTATTGAATGAAATGCAAGCTTTACCTGTAATGATTTTTAACAAATAAAGAATATAGGTCCAAGCATGTTGCAACAATTTATCTAAATACCTGAAAAGAGTGACATGATCTGACACAAAAACTTTTCAACATAAGGTATAACACCATATGCTTGTAAACAGAACCCTATGGGGAAAGATGGGCAGTCTCTTGCTATGGGATCTCCTCCTAGGAAGCCCAATGGAGGATCAGCTATGAGTCAGTTCTGACTTGATGGTAATGAACTTAAGTATAAGGAGAGCAGTCTTGTCTTTCACATAACTAAGAAATAATAACTGAAATAATTAAGTTAAATAAAAGAAAGAACTGAAATAGACTGGAATGACCTAAGTAATTTTACTGAATCTTTTGACAGAAATAAAGATGATTCTTAACTGGTATATATCTTGTTTCAACAGTTCCAATAGAAACAATCTGTTGTATGTAAATAGTTTCTTTTTTTTTTGGTAAGCAGTATAAAATTTAATAAAAATAAAATTTAAAAAGAAAACACAACAAAAAAACTCTCCACATCATATGGTTTTCAGATATATATGACATCACCCTGAGTCAGTCATCATGATAACTGGTTCTAAACTTGTTACAATTATTATATTTTCCTCTTAATAGTTCCTCCTTTGCTTCCTTTCCATTTTTTCTTCAGCTTAACTATTTTGTTTACTTTCATCATCTAGAATTATTTAGAAAATAACCATGCTATCAATTATAATACTTTCTATGTTAGCTTTTCCACAATTATTCTTAAATGCATAATAAAATTAGAAGCATTTAAAAAAATAAGAAATTTTTTTTTCTTTTTTCAAAGACAAAAGCAAACTAGGTGGAGGGGTGGACAGGGAGGAAAATATGCAACAATGAATGAATGGAAAAAATAAATAAAAAAAAACAAACTTAAAAGCTATAATAGTAAATAGTTTCTAAAAAGATAAAGCTCTCTTCTGCTTGGCCTACTCTCGAAGAGCTTACCACGCTGTAATTAAGGCGTTTTAAAAAAAATTCCTAAAAAGCTTGCTGAAGATCACTTACCAAGGAGGGCTGGAATGTTGTCTGGAGACCGGTTGAGTACAAAGCGAAACTGTGCATCAGCTTGATCCATTTTGTCACCTTCGAGAAGGCAGAAACAAGCTCTTCCCAACAAATGGTTCTGAAAAGTCATACGTCACCTTAGATTTTCCTTTATTAAAGACTAACCACAATTTAACATGAACATAAAGCATTGAAATGAAAACCAGACAGGAAGGAGGTGGACCATCACACAAATTCCTCTAGTAATTATAATGTATTTAAACAACCAAGAAACAATTCTGAGTTACAAATAGAGAGATCCCGAAATATGAGTCTGCTTTAAATACACCTAAAGATGGTGGAATTACTGAGTCAACTTGATTCATATGCTGAACACATATAGTGCCCCGGCACACCAACAGAATAAGAACCAAAGAAATTTTCATTTTAATGAGGAACTCTTTTTGGTGAACAAATATATTATTTTTAAAAAACATATTATTAAAAAAATTCTCATTGTGTCTCTTTCATACATTTTGTTTTCATGAGGTATATTTTTTCTTTTTATAAATTCAAAGAAATAGGACTTGTTTGTTCTGATCGTACATAATAATTTTATCAGCCATCGTATACAACAGAGTTGCCTGGGTAATAAGATCCTTCTTACTGTCCTTATTCTTTTCCTTCCGAGCTTGCTGTACATAGTAGGCTGCTAGTGTATCCAGGCAAGTCATTTGGTCTTTCTCGTGGTCTCTGGAGTCTAAATTGCCACCTATACGAGCTGCTTCCAACAACTTTACAAACTCTTCTGTTTTTCCTTGCTTGTAGTATTCCAGCTATAAGAAAAAAAGATTAAATTAGAACCAGCAAAGCATATGCTCATACAAAAACTTACAAGAATGTTTTAGTGCAACTTTATTTGTAATAGATAAAAAATAAAACAACTCAAACATCCATCAACTGCTGAATAGATAAATAAGCTTTGATATAACTGTACAATGGATTCTATTTAGCAATAAAAAAGGGATGAACAAGCAACAACATGGATAAATTTCAAAACAATGACGCTGCGTGAAAGAAGGCAAATCAAAAGAGAGTACAGACCTATGATTCCATTTATATACAGCTCTCGAAAACGCGGACTAAGACAAATAGCAACAGTGGCTGCCAAGAGTGGCAGGGGAATATTTAGGCATGACAGAGAGATTCATTATCATGACTGTGGTGATGGTTTTACGGGTGTATGTATATATAAAACCTATCAGATGGCCAAGAATGAACTGTTTGTTGTAGCTCAATTATAAGTTAAAAATAAGGCTGTTTTAAAAAATTGAGAGCATTACAAATATTTTCAACTTACTTTTTACCTGGCAACAGCTGATTTTAAACTAAAATTTTTAAGCAAGCAAAGTGTGAAAAAAACAATAATGGGAGGAAGAAAGAATTCTAGTGAGAAAAGAGTTTTGGCTCTTATTATGTCAAAATGATTTGGAACTTTGGACATGTTAAGTAACTTCCATTTTATGTACAAGAGTTTTGGCTCTTAAAATGTCACAATTATCTATGACTTTGAACATGTTAAATAACTTCCATTTTATGTACAAGAAATAAGAGGAATTCCATCATCTATTAACCACCTAGTTGGAAACCCACACTATGTCAGGCACATCATATACATTCTTTCTAATCTATACAAATACCCTATCAAATGGCACAAATATCCTCATATTCAAGATTACAAAGCTCAAGGATAGGTCTTTTGTCTTAGATTACACAGCTAGTCTGCTAATCTCAATTTGGGATTTGAACAAAAGCCTCTGTAATTTCAAATCCTATACTCTTTTTTCCCTCTGCAATCATTTCTATGATTAACATAGCAGGTGACACATTAATCCTCTTTCAATTTGATATAAGTGTTATTAAAGGAAACATAAATATTAAAATTTTTAATTCCTTTTTCATTTTTTAAAAAAAAATGCACAAAAGCTCACTTCCATCTTCATAGAATAAGAAATAATTAAGACAATATGATATTTAATTTCAAGAAGGCACGTGTGTCACTCAAAGCACTTCTCCGTAAATCCATATCCAAAAGAAAAGAAAGTTTTAGCATGCCTGAAGACCGGATATAAGCTTACATCTAGAACTACTTGACAATTCAAGATGTTAGGTGCCTTCTGAAGTATTTTTATATAAAAATGACCTGTGGCACAGCTGCTTAGAAAGGACTACAGTGCTATTAGCTATTTCCACAAAATGGGAACACCTCAAACAAACACATCAAACATATCAAATTACGCAGCTGATGATAAGATTGAGGGGAAGATGGAGAGTATGTAAAACATTCTGAGATGATTTCCCGGATAATTTTGAGTAATGGTCCCAGGGGAACAAAATAAGGGACAAAAAAGTTAAGCCAGTACCAAATTATACCTCAAAAGGCTTTTGTGGGTTAGGCTGGCAACAGAATAAATTTATAAAGTATTTTACTGGAATTATCTTATTACTATAGGAAAGGATGTGAAGTAGAAATGTTTACACTGTAGCAATCTGTGTTTCCCAGCTTATCTAAAAACCATAAATCACTGTCATTGAATAATTACTATATAATCAAATATCCAACATTCAATAGGGAATTTCTTAAACTGAAATCAATTTTGCCTTTACTAATGTAAATAGAAATATGTAACAGGAGAGCACACATTATTTAGGAAATGGAACAAACGGTAATAAAGACATAGTACAATCAATTTATCATGTAAGTATTCATACTATTATGAAATCTGCAAAGAAGGAATCACTATTTCCTAGTCAATAAATATATTTGTTACATGAATACTGACCGCCAAAGCAATCCATATGTGCAGTTGTGTGTGTTCCTGTTTGAGAATACTGATAACTTCATCCCCCTCCGGTAACTGATCAAAGTCAAGTTCAATAACCTAAAACACAAAATGTACAGTTTAATTCTTCTATTTTTTAAAATTCACATTTCTGCTTTGCTGTTTTTATACATAATCAATTGGGTTTATATTCACTTTAGATATGTTCTTATTGTTGTTGTGTGCTGGAAACAACTCAGTAGATGCTCCACGGAGTTTTCAAAGGCAGTAAATCACACGTGAGGAGACTGCTCATCCTCCTTCCACAGAGCAGTGGATTGATTCAAACCGCATGCCTTTGGGATTGCAGCGTAGCTTGTTACCACCAGGCCACCAGAATCCCATAGTTTAGACAGAAGTGAACAAGTATATGGTAAAAACTGTTTTATAGCGTATTTGAAAAGAATGTTATTATACCATGCTATTAAATAATTCCATAGAAAATAAAACAGATCCTTTGTTATTCCAGATGCCCATGAGTCAGAATCAACTCATCGGTGATCCTCCAGGGGGGTTCAGAGTCTGTAAATCACATGTTGTTAGGTGCCGTGGAGTGGAGCTTAAGTCATAGAAACCCTATGACCAAAAGATCTGAAGCCATAGGGGCTTGCTTTCTTCAGCACAGAGGACTCAAACAACATGCCTTTGGGTTGGCAGTGCAGCTCCTTACCCAAAGGACCTCCAGAACTCCCTATACAGATGAAGTTGTCCCTAAACCACTAAAATGATAAAATGCTACTCAAAATCCCCTATTCCTTACTAAAAAAAAAAAAAAACCCACAAAACCCCTGCTTAACACATAATTCAAGTCACGTGCAAATAAGCATTCTAGAGACACTGACTGAATGGACTTGATAATCTATCAAGTGCAATATTATATGCAATACAAATGTAGTTAACTACATACTGTACACATTAACCACGTAGGCAACATTTGTGTGTTACAGACTCTTGAATAAGGCACAAAAATAACGGTAAGAAAATGTTTCAGTATTACATAGCTATGAGCCGATATACAACTTTATGAATATACTGCAAACTATTGTACATTGGGCCATGTGATTTTTATTCCAGTATTACATTTAAGAAGAAGTTCTGGTAACATTGGTAACACTGCTTGTGTGTCTGGCAGTTCGAATCCACCAGATGCTGCTTTGTGTTAGAAAGATTCAGTGTTGATTTATTGCCTCAGAAAGTTAATGGAGAGCTACTATGAGTCGGTATTGACTCGACGTCTGTAAGTTGGTTTTTTTAAAGATAATTAAAATAAAGAAAAAATGACAGGAAATGTCCAATAAGATTATCAGGCCTCCTATGGAAGAGGAGTCAGGAAGGGAGAAGGGATTAATTTTACCAGCACAGCATCTTCTCCTTAGATACTCAAAAATATTAAAACTTGAGGTCCCAATCTCAGTGTAGAAACGTCATCGACCGAACAGCTGACTGTTTTATTATTTGCACTGTTTGGCACAGGGCAGATTCAAGTATCAGAAGCGAAAGGGAGAAATCCTATAGATTCCCAGTAAAAGATATCTAGCTTGAGCAGCAGGAAGCCCACAGTGACATCAGCGTCCCCCTCCATAATCTGATCGGAAAACCCTGCTCCTCTGAAATTGTCAGGAAAAAGAAGAGTACAGATAAATATGAACATCGGAAAAAGAACTTTGAGGAACTTCTCCGAGTGACCCAGAGGCTGCGAGGGCTCAGGTGTTCCCTATAGGGCGGGCGCAGCGGCTGGGAAAGAGCTTTGATCGGAGATTTAGGCCTGGGCTCCTGGGGGAGGGGAATGCTCTTCGAAATCCATGTCAAGAGGGAAGGGGGGTGGCTTAGATTGTGCACGGCCCCCACTTCCCCTATACTCGACCCCTACCTCATCGGTGTCCCGAAGGGGAATCTCTATGGAGCCCCGCGACATGATGAGATCGGAAGGCGAGCGGGCGTCCAGCCCCGCCGCTCCGTAGCCGACAGTCTTCACTTCTGGCTCCTGCAATGCCTAACGGTGGGTCGGGATCCAGCGACTTCTGCCCAGCCGAGCGCCCGGACCTCGGGCTTCTCCTTCCCGTCAGCCGCTCAAACAACAAGCAGCAGACGGCGTCAGGTCACTTCCGGCGGCTCCGCCCCCATGACCCGGAAAGATTCCCTGCACGAGTGTGCGTCCTAAGGCGAGGCTCCGTGTGGTTGTGGGGTTTCTTGAGGTCTTCGTTCGAGGCTGGACTGTAGGTTGACTGCGAACTTACAGACCTCGGTAGTCTTCTGAGTCTGAGCCTTGCATTTGCGCGTGCCCGAATCAAAGGGCCGTAGACAAAGCGGCTCTGCCCGGCCGTGGGAGGGGCGACCAATGGCAGGGAGTTGCGGGATGTAGAGGCGGAACCTGCTCAGTGACTGACAGGCAGCTTCTGGTCCTTTGACACCATCCTTTGAGCCTCCGACTTCTCTAAATGATGTTGTTATTGTGTGCTGTCAAATTGGAAAGGACTCATAACTGACCCGTCAGTGGATTTTCAGAGGCTGTACCTTACATGCGAGTATTTAAACCGCCCACCTTGGAGTTGACAACTCAATTCCTTGGCCACTAGTGTACCAGAGTCCCAAGTTCATTGTATAGCACTTGTTACTTTTGAGTCATTCCAGTTTTAGATTCTAGTAATTGGAGAATACGGCCTGTTTTCTTCTCTATGATTTTACTTTATTGCTGTGATGATGATGTTGTTAAGTACATTGAGTTGAAGGAACTCCTTGCTGACCCTCCAGAGGATTTTCAGAAAATTCTGTAACTCGCAAGGGAGGTGATTGACCATCTTTCTTCCACAGAGCACTTTGTGTATTCTAACTTCATGCCTTTAGGTTGGCAACTCAACTCCTTACCAGTAGGTCACTAGAAGTCCCTTAATATTAACGCAATTGTTGGATGTCTCAAGTCAAGTATGGCTCATGGCGACTCTATGAATAGCATATTGGAACTGTGCACTATCCTGCGCCATCCTCATCATCTCCGACATACTTGAGCACATTGCTGCAGTTAACTGTCAAGCCATCCCATTGAGCATCTTCCTCTCTTTCACTCACCCACTGTCTTTCCCAGAACAATCTCTCTCTCTCTCTCCTCCTTCCTCCCTCCTCCCTCCCCTCTCCCTCCTTTCTCCTCTCTCTGTAAGGCCTAGTTTCTCATGAAAATATGTCCAAAGTAAGTGAGAGAAGTTTCACCAATCCTTGCCTCTAAGGAATACTCTGCTTGCACTTTTTTCAGGATTTACTTGTTTGCTCTTTTGGCAGTCCATGGAATATATTCAATATGCTTCTCCAGCACCACAACTATAAAGGCATTGATTATTTTTCTGTCATCCTTTTTCCTTGTCCAAGTCACAGATGCATAGCAAGGAACTGAAAATACCATGACTTGAATTAGGTACACCTTAGTCTTTAAACTGATATCTCTACTCCTAAGTACATTAGAGAGGTCCTTGACAACAGACTTTCCCAATACAATCTGTCTTTTGATTTCTTGACTATTGGTACTGAAAGTGTTGATTGGGAATATTGTTGTTAGGTGCCTTTGAGTACGACTTACAGTGACTTTATGAATAGATCTGAACCTTGTGCTATCTTGTGCCATCATCATCATCTCTGACACAGTTGAGTCCATTGGCAGTCACTGTATCAATCCATCTCTCTTTCAGTGACCCTCCACCTTTCTAAGCAAATTGTCTCATATTTCACTAAACATTTCTTGATCCATAAGCATTCAATAGTATTTAAATTGAATATACTAACTATACATATATGTGTATTGAAGTCTTTAGTGCAGCCACATTTCAGAGATAATTGCAGGTTCAGGTCCAGATTATTGCAATAAATTAAATAGTTGAGTCACAAGAAGCTTTGGTGGCCTAGTGGCAGGAAGCTGTGCTGCAACTTGCAAGGCACGTAGTTTGAGGCCACCAGTCTCTCTGCGGGAGAAAGATGGGCAATCACCTATTGTGCGATTAACTGCCTCTGAAAACCTGCCACAGGGTCTGCTATGGGTCGGTTCTGATTGCAGTACACAACAACAACAACAAACAACAACAACTTGGTTATAACTTGATGGCAATGTAGTTGTTTTGTTTGATGAAATGTATTAAAGGGATCGCTGGTGACAGAGTGCATAGGGAGCTGCACTGCCAATCGAGAGGACACACCTCTCTGGCAGTTAGAATTCACCTCCAGTAGCTCTGTGAAGGAAGATGAGCAAACTCTGCTGGTGGCGTTTGCAGCCTCAGCAATGCAATGATGAATCAGCTATGAGTTCATTCTCACTCGATGGCAATGAGTTTTTAGTATATGAAAGGAGCCCTGGAGACTTAGTGCATAAAGTCTCCAACTGGTAACAGAATAGCCAGCAGTATAAATCTACCAGTCACTCTAAGGTAGAAACATGACAATCTCTTGTAATGATTTACAGCCTTGGAAACACCATGTGTCCAAGTTCATTCAATGGCGTTCATGTTCACTCAATGGCGGTAAGTTGCATTTGAATTAGGATAATGTGCTAAGTATGCAGTGTTGTTATTGTGCACTCTCAAGTTAGAACCAGCCTATAGCCGAGCCTCCAGCAGGTTTTCAAAGGCAGTAAATCTCAAGGGAGAAGATTGTATTATAAAAAAGTTCTATGGGGGAGAGAATAGTCTAAAAGTATTATATTTTAGGGCATTATTTTTATCGTAGGAGTATGCAATGAGGGTTGTAGAATGGATTATATTTGGGGC